CAGTAAGGATATCTTCATCGTCGATGTGGTTTGGACAGCCAGAAAAATGGAGTTGTTTTCGAGCATGTAGCTTTGATTATATTGAAATAAAGGTGGTGAAGAATGATTAGTGGAAAGGTGTTCATTCAAAGAAGGAATAAATTGTTGAAGTTACTTTTGTTGATTTTATACATGTTACAAAGCTAACAACTATGACCGCATATTCTTTACTTCCTCAAACTGTCATTTAAGCTTCAAAAACCTTTGGCTTTCAAAGTGTCTGAACGTTTCAATCTAGTGTTTATTTACGTTTCTCCTTTCTTTGGTCTAATCGCGGTTTTAGCCCCTTTACTATACTAAAATTTATTGTTTCATCTTTCTACTCTAGTTTGATCATTCTTTGACACTATTGTCAGTTAACAGATACTATTCGATAAACGTTAACTAGCAATATTACCATTTTGAAATTACCAAGAAATGTTATAAAAGTAGAGGAATCTAAATTTGCCAAATTAGAGGTTAAAGCTCTAATGTCAACATATTGTAGGAATTTAAACTATAACTAGACCCCTTCATTTTTAGGAATGGTAAAACTTAAATTATTTTTCTTAAAACTTCCATATTTAAAATCTATATTAGTTCATTTATTTAAATAAAATGAACTAAACGTATCGTTTACATAACATAAAACACTGTTTAACATGAGTTTTCCCGACTTGCACTTAATTTGAGCACATTTTTTCTGTGTTGAAAGTAAGAGACCTACTTATCTTATTTTGTGAATTCACTAACAATTATATAAAAAACCTTCAGTTTAGATGATTTTCAGAACTTGATCTTGTTACTTCTGTAAAACTTTACCAATCTTCACTTTAATGAATCACTTGAAAAAAATGTCATCACCGCAGATTCGATCCAAACTCGTAAATTCGATCTAGTAACTTAACCTATCTTTGTTACTTTTGGTCCAAACTCGTATATTTGATCCAATCAATCAGAAATAAATACGTGAAATTTGTTGGTGGTCCATATCTGTGAGATGCAAAAGGCCGTTAAATCTTAGCAAAAGCAGTATCTTCAAACAAAACGACGATGAAAACAAAGCAAACAAATGTCTAATCCAAATCGAGTTCACCTTATGTTTACCAAAAACACCAAAAAAAGAAAAAAGAACGTAGATCTAATAACCACCCTTGAGATCATTAACAACATCATATGGAATGGGGGTAACTGTTTCCAACGTAGCACCCTCCACCATGAAACCAGGTTTAGGTCCCTCTGGTTGCCTCTTTGTGCTGATGACTTCACCCTTTGCCTTAGCCTCTGCTTTTAGCTGATCATTCTTCACTTTCCTCAGCTTGAATTCCTCAGCGCATCGTGACGGCTGAACGTGCTCCACTCGTACGTGGATCCTCTTCCTGATTATCCTGTTACCTACCTGAAATTGACAATAAAGTTAATGCAAGCACACCAAGTTTGAATATCCGATATAAGATGCTTGCGGTGAATGACATGAAGGCCGGAGTGGCGTAAAGGTTAAACAAGACATGATCACAACCTCAAATGAAGGCACATTCAATACAAAATATGTAAATGTGTTATAAATCTTAGGGTAATAAGAATTTAAGCTCATCCCAAAGAGGGAATTGGTACATTCGTGTGAGATATATTATACAAGTCAACCAATTTCAAATCAGATATTTGAAGCTTGCAGTGATGCACAAGAGCACGGAATCGGCACAAGGGTTAACAAGACATACATGGATGTCCATCTTGCTCGAACATGACCACAAGCCGAAATGCAGGCTTGATAAAGCATATTTCAATAAAAAAAAATCATGTGAATTTGTCTCTCATCTAACTGATATATTGATTCAAGCTACCAAAAAAGTCGATTTAGATTTCTTTTTTCTGTGATAGCTACATTACTACTCTAAACCAGGTGAATGCATTCCATTGATCAGTTACATCATATAACTAAGCAAATCCAACATTAAAAATACCAGAATTCAACACAACAATATACAAAAATCCAATTTCACCATAACACAGCAGAATAAAACCAGGAAAAATAATCCACATCTTCCTTTTAATACAATATACCCCAATTTTCACATTTCGAAACACATCAAAATTCAAACACAAAAATGAAACAAGCCCAAATTTTTTAATACCTGTTTGTTGACTTCAACACCGATAGCTCGTTTGGTGACGTTCCAGACTCGACCGGTGCGGCCATGGTAGAACTTGTGGGGCATTCCCTTGTGAACGGCGCCGTTTACCTTGACGTCAACATAGTCACCGATCTTGTAGGTCCTGAGGTAAGTGGACAGGGGAATGTAACCCTTCTTCCTAAAGGGCCTGGAGAATGAATCCCTAGTTCGAGAACGAACACCGTGACCTGCTGGCATTTTTTACACACACTCTCACGCCTCCTTTTTTCCCCCCTTCAGTTGCAAATGATCTTTATGGTTAAACAAAACCCTAATTTTGATCTTCGTACAGCCGCTTCTTTAACGTTTCTAGGGTTTTGTTTTTCTTCCGTAGTTTTTTGGTTATTTTAATTTGAGTGAATCGATCAAAGCCCATATCTGTGACATTGTTGAGGCCTGTCTAAGAGATTTTAATAGAGAAACCTAATAATGATCTTTTTCATTGAAAGAAATAGAATAAAATTCAATTTTCTTTTTATTCATATTATATTTTATATTTGCATAGAATAATTATGTAAAAATATTGATATATTTAAACAAAAATTTAGAATATGATATTATTCACCTTGTATCGTTTGTACAATACATATAACACAAAATACAAAGAATAACACGTATAAATGCTTGACATTTATGTAATATTAATCGTTATGTATTGAATTTTATATAGATTATAGTTATCTTAAAGGTTAAAATATATTTCAAGTCTTTGTACTCTTGCATTTGGAATTTGGACCTTTTACTTTTATTTTGAGGAATCTAGTTTCCCTACTTCTCAAATTAAAAATAATAATACTAAAGAAATTTAACAGGGTTAAAAATTAGACTTGAATTCTTAATTGTTTTAAAAAAAAATAATTTTTAAAAATTAAATAGAAATGCATAAAGAATACAATGACTCAGCAGATTTTAACGTATCTTAAAACATGTCCAAAACCTTCTGCATTTTGTCGTTTTCTTAAAAACTATAATAATAGTCCATTTATGGCCTTATTTTCACGTTAGTTTAGTAAACCATCTAGCTTAAAACAAGGGTAAAAATATGTTGCTGTTGTTGTTTTCACCTATATCATGTCGGTGTCCTAAAAGCCAAGCCAGTGAGGTAGAATGTGACAATAATAAGGTAACAAGTAAAATAATAGTATTTACAGTTTCGAAATCACTGTATATAAGTGAATTGCATTTATTTTTCTACATTAATTATCTTTCCAGGCATCTTCCCACCATTAAAGGTTTTGTCCTAAATATCCCACAATAAATGCCATATCTAATTGTTGCTCTTTTCATACCAGTCAATAAATTTGTTGTACATGGTTTTGCTCAATTTGCTAATCTCGTGTCTTCCAAAAGTGTATACATCTACAATTCATTGGTTTCCTAAATTAAATTTTAAATTAATTAATATTATTATATTATAATATATTTAAATATATAATTAGAGACGGACACAAAATTTCATGTTTAAAGGGGCAAACATCTAATATTTTAGTAAAAGATGAACTTATAAAATTATAGATGACGAAAAATAGAGAAATACATAAAAAAATTCTAAAAACGACTTCCCCATCCATCTCCTACCTTCCATCCCTACGCATAATAATATTGATAAAAGATGATTTCTCAATTTTGTTAAGTTGCTAAAGACTAATGTGATGTTAAGGGATGATGGATACCCCAAAAGAATGTTTTAAATTTGTTTTTGAGCAATGTTGACAAATTTCTCAAATATTTTGAGTTGTTCCATCGCATGAAATGCACTTAGGCTATATTCTAAAAAACAAGATTTCGTGGGTAAGTTAAGGCATTGCTTGAAAGGGCTCCATAAACACAGCTTTAGAAATTGCTTTAACAATGGACTTACTTCACCAAGCATTGTAATATTGACATGCAATCTTTTTAACCCTAATTCAAACCACAGATAGCCTCTTCCCATCTATTTTGAAGTGATGAGCTACACTAACCATTCTCTAGTTTTTAAAATAAATAAAACTTTAATTATATTTGTCTGTTATTAAAGATTAAACCAAATAATTCCATAAAACGAGGACGTCAGTGCAATTAACCCATATATTGCATTTGATCCAAGGACAACGCTTTGTCTTTGAAGAATGGTGCGAGAGCTGAAAAAACACAAATCCCAAATGTGAAACAAAAGATGAAGATGAGTAGATTGTTAGAAATTTCCATTGAATGATGTGCATTGATTTCTCTGGTGCAGGCATAAAAGTCTAGGGTACAAAGAAAGGTGAGAAAATAAAGATGGTAGCTGTTCATGTATATGTTCCCTTTCCTTAGTCAAAATCTTCTTAATTATTGTTAAAACACTCACAATTACTCAAATATGAGGTTTTTAGAAAATAATATTATATTTTATTAATGAGGTCATTCAATGAATTGAAATATATATACACATATATGTACATGCATTTTTGTCTTGGTTGCAGTACTTTTCTCACGCTTCGCAGTAGTTTCAGACAGACAGCGTATAGATTTATGTACACAGTACACGTGTGTAGCTACAGATATGTTAATGTGCTCCTCTCTCATAGCCACTTCGAAGACAAAAATATTCCTCACACGTGTGGAGATTTTCTGAATCTAGGGAAGACCCAGTTTGCAACTGTATCTTTTAGCTCGAGGGATATGGCAGAAATAAATCCATAAATAATGTTTAAGAATAAAATAAAATGCAAATGTTATTTTTTCTGAGATTAATGAAGGGATGGTGAATTATTTCATTTACAATATGAAATCATACTGAAAAAAGTAAAATCCGAGATGTTAAAAAAAAGGAGAAAAAAAAAGAAGAAGATGAAAGTTACTACGAAATGATCATTATAAATGTAGATCCAAGCTAACATGGTCATTAACGCTAGGTTTCGATTCATAACCGTACCGACGACTCTGGGAACTCGAACCACTGGCCACTACCCGCGACGGCTGCTTCAACTCATCGCCTGCGAAAAACATCGTAGGATGCGTCGATGAACGCTCACGATTGAAATTACAGGCGTTACTTTGAACTGTAGCAGCCGGGATTCTCCATAACCCAAGTGGGCTGCCATTGATGAGCGCTGGCTGAGAGAACGAGCTTTGGTTCCCATAAAACCTACCGTTGCTACTATTAATACTACTGTTAATGCTATTGTTCCACGAAGAGTAAGCCGCCATTGACGGCGTCGGAGGTGAGTCTAGCTTATAGTTGAAGATCCCATAAATATTATGAGCATCATGAGATGAAGAACTGTGTTGCATGGTTAGATGATGTCGTTTCGCGTGTTGGCGTTCCCTTTTGTGAGCGTTTTGGTGACCGCCCAAAGCTTGGGAAGTGGGGAAGTTTCTGCAACAATAGTGACACTCAAATCTTCGGCTGATACTATTATTACTATTGTTATTATCTTCATTCTCGTTTTCCTTGGTCGTGTCTTTGTTGTTGTGAGCTGAGTCTGGCTCTGCGTCGTTGATGATGGCCGCCGTAGTCGAGTCAACACAGTCGCGGCCGCCGAATTCCTTGCCGAATAAACGGATACCCTTTTCTTTAATGGGAGAAGGGCGGATGAAGGGAAGCTGAGAGAAGGAGTCCACGTTCATGAAATCGTGCGTTTCCTTCTCATTATTCTTCTCCATGAAAGTTTCTTTCTTTCTTTCTTTTTTAATTTTTTTTTGGGAGAGAGAGAATTGAGGGGACTCCAAAATGGGAAGAAGAGAAATGAAAGGAAAGGGAGAGAACTGGAGGTAGCTAAGATGGGAGGAGGTGGGGCCTATAAAAGAAGGGATTTAGAGCCGTTCTAGAATGTTGGAGGCTCATGCAAATTCTTAAAAAGAGACTTAGTAAAAATTACAAAGATTGAATGCAATATATATAGGGAGATTAGTGATATTACTAACTCAAATTATAACGGTATGAGATAAAAAGATCATGAAAAATTAACTCATTTCTTGTAAAGTGAAGTTAGAAAAAAAAATGAGGTTTTTATTATAATAAATCTATTTTTTTAGTCCTTGTTATTTCGGGACCCTATTCCGTCGCTCAAGTTGTACATGTCCCAGCCCCGCCTCTGAAGGGATTCATCGATGGAGGAATGAAGCAGCCATGGCCATGAATATGACACGGGTGGCTAAGAGCAAGATGACAAAGGGACGATTATTTTTTCGTTTCATGGCCATCCGAGTTTTATTTTTTGTTATAATCGGCCCAAATAATTAGTAACTAAAAGATTATGTAATACTCCATTTCAAGACCAAGTATAATTAGGGATAGGTATCGGATCTAATTTGATGGGTATTGATATGATTCTATTTTGTTAGATTGATTTTTTTCAAAAAGGATTTTGAGTTCGGGTTTAGTTGAATCGATTTTTTAGAATATATGTTCGAGTTTGATTTAGGTTTAGGATGAAAAATATTTGATTTTACCTAAAAAATAATATAATTATATCTTATATATTTAGGGATAATTACAATAATATCACTATTAATATTAATTTTTTAATTAGATCCCTATTTTTTTTTTTGAATAAAATTAAAAATTATATATATGGGGGATAGGATCCCATTACATCGTGTAAAACTCTTTTAGTTTTACGCGTATTTAAAATCTCACATATGTCGAGTTGGGACAAATCAAATTAAGTATAGATTTTATTTTAAAAGACGAGTCAAATTCAGATCGAATTTCAAGTGAAGAATGTATCTTTATCAGATTGAATCAAATAGATTACAAACTCAATCTAGTCCGACTCACGATCATCCCTAAATATAATGTATATGTATTAATACCTTGAAAAGGGAGGTCTCTCGTTATGCTTTCTTTCTTCTTAATATGCTAGCCATCATCATCTTCTTTCATTTTTATTAAATTAATATTTCTATTATTTTCATAATCATGCATTATAACCTGATTTAAGTATCAAAAAGCATATTAGAGTCCAAGTTCCAACACCTCTTAATTTATCTTCGTGTTACAGAAATTAAAGATAATTAGATTTATTTTCAAATTCGACTTATTCTAATCATACAATATATTTGAATATCGGCAGACTATTGATTACTAGTTTGGTGTCAAGTAATGAATACATAACCTATTTTTAGTGCACCAATTCACTTTTGATCATTAATTCATTGGCACTAAAAAAAGAAAATTACGAGGGAATAAAACATCCTTGTTCAAAAATACGCGGCAATTAATAAATGTGTATGTATATGATGCCAAACCGTGAGGCCATGAGAGAGAGTTTGATTTGTCATATATGAATCGGGAAAATAAATGAGTTACCAAAGGATATTAATTAATCACTACAACATTTCTCTCAATAAATGATGGTATTCTTTTGCCATCAATATAAACACATGTTACCTTTCCTACTTGTTCTGATGTTAACAACATAGCTTGTTATTAATTCTAAATTCACATCTTATTTGTGACCACACATCATTCCTCTTTCATTCTTCTTATCACATTCGAATTAATCAATTATATATTTAAATCGGATTAAAACATAATCAAATATGGGTCTTAATCTCCCTAAAAATCAATTTAATCTCCATCAGAAAAAATATGTTTGACTTCTTCCCCATTCAAGAGTTCCTTTTTATGGTCAGAAATATTATAAATTTTATAATAATTTCATTTGTATGATTGCATTACAAAAAGGTATCTCCATCATGGCCAGAACAGATTATGATTTATCTAGCAATCTTATTATTTTCATGAATATATAATATGGACGTTTACGTATCTTTATATTAAATATTACCAAGTATTTCTTTTTCGCTATTCTTAATCATTAAGCAATAAGCATTAAGAATCAATACGTGTATAATTAGTTAGATATCATGTGATGCGAGAGCATGGAGGCAAAACACAAAAGAACAATCTCTCTCAAGGATCATGGTCCAGGGGTGGGTTATATTAGTTGGTGTTGCTTCTTTATAGCGGTTGGCTGTTTTATTTCTGCTGTCGTGGTCCTCCATTAATAAAAATATGTTAACCACAATTTACACCATTTATTGAACAAATACACCTGTTATCTGCCCACTCAACCTATTTCTTGCGTTCTCTTTCTCTCTTCTTTTAACCTATTAAGATGTAACTGTTAAGGTAAAAAACAAAATATATTCTATTGCATTATAAAACATATATATATATATCATCACGTGTGGTTTTATAATTTAGCTTATTTATATATACGAACAAGGGATAAAATTATACGTTTAGTAGCTAAATTATTATTTTATTCTGTTTTAGTAATCAATTTTTTTTCAAAACAATATCTTACTTTTAGTTTAGGTTTCAATTTGGTATATCAGCGTTAAAAAATTAACATAACTACTAACGTTACATTTTTTTAATGATGATGTGATATTGTCTTATAGTGACATGTCATCATCATGTTAATTTTTTAACAGTAGTGTACAAGTTTGTATCTGAGCGTGGACAGGAGGGGTACCTGCCTGCGCAAAATTATAAAATCTATATATAATTAAAAAAAAGGATAATTTATTTATTAAGTCATTCATCTATTATTATTTTTTAGTCATCTAATTATTATCTTTTTCCAAAATCATAATTAACGTTACATTTTTTTCTTTTTAATTACACACCATTAAAAAATTAACGTCGATGCTGATGTAATAATTTTTTTTTGTTCATTTTTCAATTAATTATTCTTTTATTATTTTTTATGAAGATGGAGAATGTTGAAATTGAACCTAAACCTGTACCTTCTTAAAATATGGTCATGCTTGTTTTGTTTCAGTAGTTGAGTGTTTAATAAAAGTTATTGATGTTTTCAATTTAAAATTTAATATATTTATTAGATAGTTTATTAAACGTAATAAAGAAAAGGCAATTCATTTTTTTCGATATTTGTTATTAGAGGCCTAATTTATGTGTTCTCCCTGGGCCACTAAAATATCAGAAACGGACCTGGTGGTGTACCAAATTAAAATCTAAACTAAATGTTAGGTACAATTTTGAAGAAAAAAAATAAAGTTTAAGTACCAAAATGAAATACGAGTAACAATTAGGTACTAAACTTCTAGTTTACCCTAAAGAAAGTGTGTGATGTTTGGTGCATGCTTGAGTCGTGGGTGTTTCAATTATTCTCAACTGCATGCCTTCACTTGTAGATCATAATTCTTCCATCCCTACCTTTCGTTGCCATTTCATGACATGTCACTGTCTTGTTCGTTTTCTCTTTCTATAAGTCATAATTTATTTTTTTTGGGGGGGGGGGGGTTGTCATTTAGTTATATAACGTTTTTAAAATGTAGCTTAAAACAAGAACACTTCATTCATGCAAACACCTTCTTTGCCATTGAAGTCGTAGTCGCAGAGGTTGTGGTTTGGAGTTTCTGGTTGTTTCCCGGAAGGAACTATGTCGAGTGTGGGAGGTGTATAATCTTCAATTATATTTTACCTACTTATTAATTTTAAATTAACAATTTATTAAAAATAACAATTCTTTGAAAATTAAAATTCGTCGAGTTATTATATATTTATGTATATATTATTTATTAAACAAACGAGTTTGAATAAATATGTGTTTAGTTGATTTATTAGTTTATTATTTTATGGTTCATATTTTTCTATGAAAGACAATAAAAAATAGGTCTTATGTTATTTATTTGTATTATATTATTAACATTTATATTAATTATATTATACCTAAATATAATAAATATGTTGATTTATGATATGTTTGTTAATTATTTATGGACAACCTTTTTGACAAAATTTATGGACATTTTTTAATTGATCATTAGCATATTTAGTTACATGTTTATGAATTCATTCGTGCAAATATTTGCTTAATGATTATCAATATGTTCATTTAGTGTTTGTGGACATTTCGCAAACATTAAATGGATGGAAATACATAATTTTGAATAAACAAGCACGAGTTTAATTTTAAAATCCTTAACAAACACGTATCATACACAAATAAATTTAAATAAAGATTTTCTCACACGAACCAATCAACCTCAATGGTTAACAGATTTATTGTTATCTTTTGAGGTTTCGGATCTAAACACTTCATATGCCAATGGTATGGGATTTCATTGTTAAAGGGTTGTAAACATATGCTGCATTGTATTCACCATGAATTTATCAAATAAAAATAAAAATTATCATTCAAGCTCGATTCATTATGGTCTTGATTGTACAACTTAGTTTTACACATTTTTAGGACTGTTATATTATAGAAATCAAAGGCTGAGATTAACTCCTCTTTTGTTTCCAATGAATATCTTCTCGTTTCCTACTGTTAATCTTAACATTTGATTTCCCTAATTCAATAATTTTAAAAAAGTGTAAAACTCTTAATTTTATCCTAGTATAATTGGATCCTACCTCGTGTGTGTATATAAGGTACCATCTTCATGCTCCCAAAAAAAACCACTTAGCTAAAATTTGGCTAAACTATTATAAAACCCTTATCATTTTACTGATGGAATATTTCATTAATAAAAAAAAACTTATCATTTTGATTTTTACTTAGTTATCCTTTTCGAATAAATATTTATTTACGGTAAGAGATTATTTAGTTATAAATTAAAGATTAGAATATGTTAGGAGTGAGGAAGATAATCGTTGAGATGGATGTTAAATGGAGGTACAAAGGAGGAGATATTATATTGCATACTTCTAAAAGACCGCGAAGATATGGATAAGAGAAATCAGACACACATGGCGCGAGAGAAATAGACGCGCTGA